TTCAATATGCAGTTTTTCAATAGGATTTATATAAAATATTTTTAAATATATTGTTTAATAAAAATTGAAAATTATAGGTTACAAAAAGGACTTTGATATCAACATAAAAACAGTCTCAAAATTTGGTTATCCCAAAACAAAAAATAATTTTTAAACAAAAGGATAAACATACGACTAAATTTAATATTAAAAAATTAATTAAGTGATAATAAAAAATATTATTATTTTTCACATCTGGCTTTTAAGGTTAGACAATTTAATTGTCTTTATAAATTTAATATTAAAAAATTAATTAATTATAATAAAATATATTATTATTTTTCACATCTGGCTTTAAGGTTAGACAATTTAATTGTCTTTTATTGTACAAACCACCGACATTCGAACCCTATTACCAAGGTCCGATTAAATCCGGCTCGGGACTTAGTCATAGTTAAGGCTCTTCGCCCCTTCCTACAGGTGTGTTTAGTGGGGATCAAACCCGAGAGCTCTTCCCACATACGCAACTTGTGTTGTCAATTGAGTAATTGTTTTAATTAACATATTAGAATTTTGAGTTTAAAAATAAAGAGGTCACGGGCCCAAATTTTAGAAAGCCACATTATTTAGAAAACCCACAATCTGAACCGAACTGGTTTTTAACGGGTCATGTTCACCGGTTTTTAGCCAGTTTACATCCGGTTTTTAGCCAGTTTACATCCGGTTTTTACAGATTCAAGCCAATTTTTAAGACTGCCAGTTTTTTTATGCAATCCGGAACGAACCACAATCTGGTTTTCAGTTAAACCGATCGAACTGGCCAATTTGGTCTAGTTTTCAAAACAATGGTTTTAATTGCTTTTGATTATTAATAATTATTATATCAAGCTTTTACTATTTTGAAATTATTGAATTTTCAATCATGTCTTCTTCTTTCAATAAATATAGTCCTATTGCATAAATTGATTTATTAATCATGCATTAAATTGACAAGACTTAATCGAAATAACTATCTATTGCTTGTGAAATGATTAATAAATGATTAATAATTCGCTTCACTCTCCTCTCCTCCCACCTACTGTTAGGTGCTTGATCTTAAAATCCACACCTTAAATGCATTAGGCCATTGATTTATTAATCATGTATTAAATTGATACATATAGTGCATAAGTACATAGTTTTTTATAGCACCATGACTTTTGTATTAAGCTATAAAATTTTTTTTTTCAAAGATCGACACATTTTACTGCCTTATGTCCTTCATGTTCTTGTTTGTATTTAGGTTGGTCTTAGTTTGAAATACTAGCCATTGAACAGTCAATTTGGTTCATTGTTCGATATTCTTATAATTTGTAAAAAAAAAAAATCATGAAACGAATGACTATCTATTCCTTTTCAATTTGGTAATGTCTTATTGAATTTTATAAATTACAGTTTGCTGCCAAGAATCAAGAGGAATTTCTAAATACTCTACTGCTAAATGGATTGCCTTCGCACAAGCTAGAACTAAAAGTCAATTATCCAATAATACTACTGAGAAATTTGGATGCGTCGAATGGTCTGTGTAATGGAACCAAAATGACGTGCATCGGAGCGATGTAAGGCATGTGGAGATAACAGGTGAACAATAGTCTGAAAAAGTTTGACGCGCAAGTACGAGCAAAGGGCCATTTTTGGGCTTTGTAATTGTCTGTTTGGGCTTTGTAATGTTCAACTATTAAAGTAACTCACTCCGCAGATGCTGCCGCTGTTAGTGGGCAAAGCCCAGCACATTCTTTAACTGGCATGTTTTGGACATAATGTTCTTTTCATGCTGCTGTATCAACTAACATATATTAATGGCACAGAGTTGATATACTTACCAATTTATTTAACTTACAATTTATGGTAGTTACTTCTGTCTGTAGACAAAGAATGGTCAACCATGCTATTTCCTACATTTGTTGCCTCATATCAGAGTAGCCCTTGTTACATGTCTTTACTAATTGATGCGGGAAAACATATGCTTATTTATTCTACATTGAAATACACATGCTCATTTACCTAAACTATTTTGTGATCGCAAGTTCCACAATAACACGAATAGAATATCAATTAACACAACATCATTGTACATTTACATGCAATCATTACCTGTTAGCACCATGTATTTCAACCATAGTCGTCCAACAACGTGTGATGTATATAGAGCCGCTATGAAATACTTGGCAAATTGGGCGCCAACTGAGGCCCGTTATATTTCACGCTGGCCTAACACAACATCCACATTAGATTTCACACAAAAAAACATACAGAGGACATTTATGGATTGGGCAATGCTTCCCGCTTAGTGATGCTCACAGGGCAAGGAACCCTTTTCATAAATCGTGCCAATGCAACCCATGTCTCACATGAGGGGTCTGTTTTGAATTTCAAATCTTTGTAAAATAATATACCCTGCCCTAAACTATCTTAACCTCTTATATAATGCATACGATCCAAGAGTCTAATAGTAACAATGTCCATCTTGCCCTTTATTGATCGTCTCTCTAGAACTCAAACATGGATTCCAATCCTGGATCAGAAATAAATTACTCGATCAGCAAGGATGACCGGATGCATTCAGTCATTCTCTGTTTGTGTGGCCGCCCTTGTGTTCCATTTATTTCCAAGCATCCAAATTTCATGGGTCGTATATTGCACAGATGCGCAGAGACAGAGGTGAGCTGCCTTGTAGCTTCGCGTCCACCCTGTCATTCATTTATCAACGTGCAGTTTATAGGACCATTAATTCAGAATTTTATTTATAAATTTTTATTGTCCACTTGTTAATTGCAGGATGATTTCTGCGATTTTGTCATTTGGCATGATGAAGTTTTCCACCACAAGAACTGAACCAGAATTGATCAAGTTCGGCGGATGAAATTTGCTGGTCACAAATATGACGAACCCAGTGGTTAGATCACGACGTTTATCAATGCTGTGGAGGACATCCATAAATATACTACAGAAACGTGGTCGACCGACCTCATCGTGTGATGTCATGAGGTCCACGGAGCTGCAGATAGAGTAGAATGTCAATGTTCTGCATTTTCTGCTTTTGTGAAGGAGTCTGAGGAGATTAAGTTGATAGGAAGAGACACCCTTAGAGTTTTGAAACTTCATTATATACTCAAGTGTGTGTTCGTATGGTTAGGTTGTTTGTCGCTCAAGTACTTGTGCGGGCGTAATTGGTAGTTTATTGGTTTGTGGTTTATGCTTCGCCGGAAGACTTACAAATTTACCCTACCTTGAATATGTCATCCATTTAATCGCGGCTGCCACTTACTTAGTGGGAGCACTGCCTTCGTTTTCAACCACTTGCCAACCATGTCGCCAATTCATTATTTTATCAAGTTTTTGTTGAATTGAATTCACGTCGGAAATAAGGGTAACTATCCATTGCATACCAACTGACTATTCGATTCATATGTCAATGAATCCCCATTTCAACACGTGAACCCCCTAAACTTATATTTTGTTTTCGTTGCACTTATAATTTCGGACTACACGAGCTGAGCTTCAAGACAGCCAGAAGCACCAGTATCAAACTATATATATCCATTTCAAAGGCTTTGAGCCTTTGAAATGAGGCATAACATAAAAAACAATCAATCCACGTATAAATTGGGCACAAAATATCAAGGTTACGATATGTTCTCATCACAGGCCTAACGACAACGATTTCCCGACTTTAGTCATTGTGAATGAATAGAACACTAGTTATTTCTAAATATCAAAATTACAACATACTTTAGTCATTGTGAATGAATAGAACATAGGTGATTTCTGAATATCAAAATTACAATTACCCGCTTTACTAGTTCTTGGCAGACCTTCGTTTGCCGAGGACGACCAGGTGTATCTCCTCCTGATGGGATCCCAGAAACCCATTAGAAGTGGTTTGGCAAAATTCGTACCGTTACCCCTCTTGGTAACTCCCGATAAACTTTCTCTGTGTTGAATTTATCGTAGAGCCAATAGCATTTCCTTTTCAACATTACTTCCAACATTTTCATCAACTCTCCTGCTTAATTTTACTGTGAGGATATCCATGCTTTTGTTCCCATCTGTGTCGGGAAAATCGCTATTTTTTCGCCCTTCGGACCGGCTTCAAGCAGGAACAAATGAGAAAATAAAATAATGACTGAGAAATTAAAGAGAATAAATAATACGATAGTTTAACATGGAAAACTCCCCAAGTGGAGAAAAACCACAATCGTTGCCAAACGACAATCAAGAAAAATATTCACTATGCGGCAAATTATTACAACCACAATTACAAAATATTTTTCTACCCGACATCCTCAAAACACTCCAAATATTTTATACTCCAAGGGACTCCAAAAGACTTGCTTTAAATCCCTAATATAAAACATATTCAAGTGTTTTGTGTGTGTTTAGAAATCTAAACCTTGGCTTCTTTTTATAGCCAATTCACCACCCCCAAATGCTCTTCTCCCTGATGTGGGATTGAGCAAAACTAAATTTTATATATTTTTTTTCTTTTGTTTTCAACAAAGGAGGCTAACAATCTCCACCTTGAAAATAAAATTAAAAAAAAAAACACAACATTGTCTGCTACCGAAAACTCAATCTCCCTGATGTGGGATTGAGCACAACCAATTTTTTATATTTTTTTTTCTTCTGTTTTCAACCAAGGCGACTAACAATCTCCACCTTCAAAATAAAATTTTAAAAAAACACGACATTGTCTACTACTGACAATCATAATTCTTATGTCAAGAATTATCATACTCCACCATAAAAGAGTATCGCCACTTGGAACCACTTTACCGACTCCAAGAATTTTTCATCGGCCATGTCGGATCTCGCTAATAGTTTATGGTGCAACCCTCCTGTTGACTTTTCCAAGAGTTCATTAGCCATTCCGAGAGTTCATTAGCCATTGACATATTTTTTTCCACCACACACTTTGCATCAATTGTCAATCAATGCTGTGCGCATTTCCGTCATTTCCGTGGACCAGCTACCAATAATCCGTCCTCTTTCATGGCATCTCAATGGGTAGCAATCATGCCATGAGGACACACATCTCTCAATTACAGAGAAAACACATCATCTCCTTCGCCACAGGAGATCACATTGGCAGAAACAACGTTAGAGCTTCTAGCCGAATTAGCTCCACCGTTTGTGCAATCATTCCTCATGTGTCCAATTTGACCACAACCCCAGCAAACAACCTTCCTCTTTCCGGAGCTTTTCTTCTTTTTCCTGGTACCCACAGATAAAGCTGAATCCTCATATGATTTATTTTCCATTTCATTCAGTCTTCTCTCCTCAGTAATGAGCTTAGTAACCACATCTGCATACACCACTTCCTTAATACCATATTTCAGAACAGGTTTCATGTGCTCATATGTCGAAGGAAGTGACAGGATGAGTCGGAGAGCTTTATCTTCATCTTCGGTTTGCACTCCATGCACTCCAAGAGTTTCTAATTCAGAGACGATGCCATTAAGAACACTCAGGTGATCTGACAGTTTTATACCTTCCGCCATTTTCAATGTATGAAATTGCTCTTTCAAATATAACTTATTGGATATATTTTTTCCCTGGTACAATTCTTCCAGTTTCTCCCACAACTCTTTTGTCGTGGACAATCCAAGGACATGAGAAAGAACATTTTTTGCTAGACACATGCGAATTTGGCTTTAATATCCAGCTCCTCCCATTCTTCATCGCTAATCTTGGATCTTTCTGAGTCTCTACTGCCACTGTCTTTTCCTGAATTCTTTCCGCTGACTGGTTTACACTGCAAAACCTTATGCAGTCCAGACTGAATAGAACTGAATCAATACGTCTTTGACTTGCACTGCCAAGTGCAAAATTCATTCTCGTGCAAAATTCATTCTCTCGTCAAATTTCTCAATCTCACATCTCATAGCCGACATGCTTACTTGTGCTTATAACAGTGAACCCAATAATTAGTGAAGTAAACCAATTCGGCAATACACAGGAAAGACCACAATGATCTCCTAGACAGTATTACCATTCCACATAAAATCCCAGTTGGGCGGAGGGGTCACAAGTGATCCCACTTAAAATCCGGCCTTCTAGAAAGAAGTTAGCTGCATGGTATATTAATAGAACTTTCGTACTAGAATAACTTCAATAATTATCGTCAGGACCTTCACCACCGGTACTCAAGCACACCAAAGCAAAGCTCCACCCTCTTCAAGACTTCCAAAAAACTCCACCTGCTTTTAAAATAAAATAATTTCTAACAACAGTATTTCTAATGTGGAAGATCAGACTAAGCCGCAACCACAAAAAAAACACAGTGGCAACTTATAATTTAAATTACAAGAAAGGGTATTTTAACCACTTAAAAGGCTCCGCCCGAAACAACTTAGGCTCTGATTACCAACTTGTGGAAAAAATCGCTATTTCCCCGCCCTTCGGACCGACTTCAAAGCAGGAACAAATGAGAAAATTAAAATAATTGACTGAGAAATTAAAGAGAATAAAATAACACGATAGTTTAACGTGGAAAAACTCCCAAGTGGAGAAAAACCACGGTCGTTGCCAAACGACAATTAAAAAAATATTCACTATGCGGGCAAAATTGTTACAACCACAATTACAAAATATTTTCTACTCGACAATTTTTCTACTCGACACCCTCAAAACACCCCAAATATTTTATATTCTAAAGGATTCCAAAAGACTTGCTTTAAATCCCTAATATAAAACACATTCAAGTATTTTTGGTGTATTTAGAAATATAAACCTTGGCTTCTTTTTATAGCCAATTCACCACCCTCAAATGCTCTTCTCCCCGATGTGGGATTGAGCAAAACTAAATTTTATATTTTTTTTTTCTTTTGTTTTCAGGCTAACAATCTGCACAGACTCTACTAACCCCCGCCCTGCATGCGATTGTAATCATAATTATATTGAATATCCAAAAAAGCATATCATTTATCCACAACCCAATCATACTCCACCCCCTCGGCCAACTCACTTTTCCTTGTACTCAATTTTTGTAGATTCTCAACATTTTTCCTACCATTAGAAAATTCACACCACTACTATTACAGGCGCTAATGGATTCGGTCGGCGATTACTGCCTATATTCACTATTATACACTTCAACCTCGCTTATATTATTTCGTAACTAGAAAACTATAGGCGTTTTAGTAAGAAATTAAAAAACTACTCATGCTACCTCCAATCTGTTTACATCCCCAAATGGTACAAGACCATTAACACAACTGCATCATCTTACAATCCCTAACCCCAAATCATTTTGAACATAATTACTGAAACCAAAGTTTACCTGGTAAGAGAAGCCCGCCAACGCGCCATTCTTCTCCTTTTCTCCGATTACCCTCCATTAATTATACAACACTTCAAACTTCAAACTTTGACCTTTTTTCCCTCTCGGTTCATAGGCCAACGAACGCTTCTCCTAAACTTCAACGACCATTTGAAGGAGCAAGTGGTTTTACCTGATATTTGCTAATGAGGACATACGCGTATGTCCTTCTTAGCAAACACAAATAATTTAACCCATACAATTGTCCTTACGAGCAAATAGAAGTACTTTCCCACCATCAAATACTTATCTATACCCTCATATTTACGGGCCCAATGTCCATTTGTTTCCCCTGCAAAAGTAAAGCGCTTTTTTCCATCACATCACCAGTAGAATCCCTTCAATTTCTCGCAGGGACATCACCGTCTTTTAAGCGCACGATGCATTAATTTCTTTTTTTTTTTTTTTTGATGATAAGTTCTTTTTTTTTTTTTGTTTTGACATTATGCAGTTAAGTTTTCTCATGAGGGCGTAATTGTCTTTCGCGTGCAAATGCCTGTGGCTGTGCAGGCGCAAGTTGGTGTCCAACGATATTACGGTGTAAAGTATTTTAGTTTGACAAATAGAAATAATATTTAGGTTCTTAAATCTAAGATTTAAGATTGAAAACTTGATCTGAATCTTTAGTAAGACTTCGAATTCTCCGTGCATAATCATACATTTTCTATAGGAATTTTCTCCGCTATGGAATTACCCCGGTCTTGTCATTTCTAGTCTGCTGACAGCCATTATAACGAGAGGAGAGAGAGAGAGGAGTAAGCAAGTTCTACATCAGTCAATCCTTCATTTCGCTATGATTTCCTTAAACATTAAAGAGTAATAAATCCCATGTGAATTAATTTTCGGATATAATGAATCTTTTTGATGCACTTGCATAATAAGTATATATCAATAATTTATTGATTAAGTGTACAAAAGCATACGATGTTCATAACCAAACGTAATAATTAAAATATCATTATGCCTGATATGGAATTTGTGGGAGAATTGTTTGGAACACGTAAATTTAGAAAAATATTTAACTACTTTAACGATTCACTTGTTTCTTCGTTCATCCGCATCTTTTCTCTCTTAAAAGAGACAGCCTCAAATTGCTTTTTTTTTTTTTTTTTTTTTTTGTTTTATTGAGTCCGAAGAATTTATAACCTTGTCATTGGATCTTATAGTGGGAACAACCGAGCTATGCCTAAGAATGTAAAACTAATAATATACTCCCGTCTCAAAATATAGTCTAAATTTTTTTTATTTTCACACAAAATTAAAAAATTAGTTAAGTGAAAATTATCATTTTATATAACTTTCTCATTATGGGCTCATTTTAAATAAAACCACATAGGGTAATTATTATCATTAGAAAGATAATAATTAAAAATTACGGTGAGTTAAAGAGTTATTGAAATAAGAGGTTAAAATTTAATAAAGATATAGGTAGAGATTAATTTTAAGGAGTTAACTAATTAATGCAAAAAGGGACAAAGTGGAATATATTTTAGATAAATTCCAAAAAGAAAGATGAACTATCTTTTTAGGACCATAGGGAGTAATTTAAATAAAACAGATTTGATAATTTTTTCAAATAAATTTGAAATTAAATATTTTCATCTAAATTATCTTTAAAAGTATTTAAAAATATAATATAAAAACTAATATATTAGATTAGTGGTTAAGTTCAATTAGTTTAATTTTTCAAAGTGTTATTGTTATGTTTAGTAAACATTAATTATAAATTAAATAATATATTTAACCATCCAAGTAAAAAAATAGAAGAAAAAAAATTAAAATTAATAGAATTCTTGAAAAATACAAACTGAGTGTCTTGAATGAATAGAGTCCCAGGTGAAGAATGTTTGTCTCTTCGACTTTATAAAGATGTACTAGTCGTAAATACCTGCCTTTCGCGGCGGTTTTAAAATATATTGTTTATAAATATAGATTTATTATTTTTTTTAGTAATAAGTATTAATTAATTATTAATATTGTATATTCAGTATTTGTTTTTTTATTTGGAAGAGACTTAATCATATAAAGATATATTTCTCCTTTTTAATTAATAAAGTTTATACAAGAAAAAAAAACAAAAGAAATGATATTGTGAAAAAGAGAAAAAATAAATTCACTGACAAAAAGACTATCCGTTAACTCACGAAATTAATCAAAAATTGCAAATTTAATTTTATGCCTAAAATGCAATTTGCTTTTACTTTCATTGATTGAAATTTTTCTTTTGCTAAAAAAAAAAAAATTTAAAAGTGTTCAAAAAACAAAGTAAGTATTAATATATAATTTTAAAAATTAGTTTAACTTAATAAAAAAGATAATTTTGTATTAGTTTCTTATAGAAATTGCTAAAAATTTTTAAATATATTATTCTATATTTTCATTGTTTTGTTTTTTTTTTTTTTCAACTATTTCAAAAAGCAATTTAGAGAAGCCGCTGTGATAATTAAGCTAGTTGAAAGTAGACAGATCTGAAATAAGATTACATTCAAATTTCAAATTAGAGTCCTAATTATGCTACAATGCTTGTATATTATTTAAAAACACGATTGGTACAAATATATTTATCTAGTTAATTGTATATTATTCAATTAGTTGTTGTCTTTTGTGCGCATATTTAAATGAAAGAACTCCTGAAGATGTAGCAAGTTTTTAGATCTTAACCTCTCAAACCATCTGTAATTAGCAACATACAATAAAAATTTTTTAAATATGAGGAACATGAAAGTAATTTTCTAAAATATAGGGAGAGGAAGAGAGCTTAAATAATATGAGTGAAAAACATTTAAATAAATAACAACTAAAAGAAAATTAGTCATCAAACATACTTCTTTGCGTTGAAGGATGAAGCTATAACATAGAAAAATGATTAAAATAAAAAATAAAAAATAAAAAACCAATCCAAGCAACTCAACAGTGAGACAAAGAGAATCAAATAAATCAAAGAAAAATAAAGATGACCAATCCAAAATATCATGATCCACTGTGCATTTTTGTTGAAGGTAGTCGATAGTATCCCTCTCTACAACCAACAAACATTATTGGTTGGTAATGAATTAAATAATGCTTATACATGGCAAAAATCTAAAAAATAAATTAAAAAAAAATACATAACTCTACATGAAAAAAAAAAAAAAAAAAAAAAAAGAGAGAGAGCCAGAGGCTACTATCGCAAGTTTTGAAGAGACCAACTATTAATGAAAAAAATAAAGATTAGAATATTTTACATAGAGAGATGATGGATAAGAAAAATTAAAAAGATTTTAAAGTTGGAATTGATCTAAAGAAAATTTTCAAACTCATAATTATAATATATATATATCATATAATATATATATTAATATATATATATATATATATATATATTAAAATTTTTGAAAATATATTCAACATCCAATAAAAATTTCTAAAAGAAAGAAGAAAATAACAAAGCGTCGAAAGGAGAAAATGTATATAGATATTTGATAGAATAAATAAATAAATAATATTAAAAAAATATATATAGATAATAGATGCTGGGTGCCTTTCTAATGCTTGTTTGGCTCAAATGTAGGGTGCTACGGAGAACCGATAGTGATTTTGGGAAGCAACTTGCTTTGGTTTGTCCAGAATTTTTGGAATATTCAGCGCTCCTGATATACAATTAATCATATTATATATTCATTTTTCCCTATGATTGAAAGAGGAGTTTGTCCAAAATGATAATATAAAAATTGGGGCATAGATTTTCAAGGGACTGCAGATTCGTTTGTCACAGTGTATATATTATAACAATAGAAGTAATATATGACAACAACTTATGTTTATTTTATAGGAGTAGAAACGCACTATAATAATATATATATATATAGTAGAAACATGATAGAATAGGGATGGCGATTCGGGAGTCCTTCTCTGTTCGGTCATTGTGTGGTGCTATGGTGTAGCCGCGTCGTTGCTTCTGATGTATCGTATGCGGCCCTAAACGCTGTTTCGAGTACGTGTGCTTGGCTTGTCTTTCGCGGTTGAGTTTATTGGGCGGTGAGAATGAGGCTCTGGGCGGGTGTCGGGCGTGCTGTTAGGGATGTTGACTAGGAATGGAAGGAAGGACGCTTAATTTTAGAATACCGATTCGATCTTCGAATACGTTAAATGAGACCTCGGATAGTTTATAAATGGGTTTGAAAATGGGATACAGATAGTGAGATTATTAATCAAACAGAATAGCCGAGTATTAGATTCAGAAATACCCAACTACCTACTTACTCCGCTATACCCAATAAAAAATAAAATGCTAAAAATTTCAATACTCTCATGAGCATATATATCTATACTATTTATTAAAAATACAATGTTACTTCTAGTTTAAAAATACAATGTACAAACAAGTTTAAAGTCTTCCTCAAATAGTTCAAAATTTCCTATATACTAAACTGTTCTACAGCGGAGGTTCTGGCCGATGTCAAGGTACGAACCTATTAAATATTCTTAAACAGATGTCGTCTTGGCGTAATACTACACTACTCTAACAGTAAATATTTAATGAATTTCAAAAAATAAATATACCTGTCAAATAAATTTTACAATAAAATCACAGATACACAGACGAGTATACGGAATGTCACGCGCTGCTTCCATCCCCGGCAATTGTTGACCTCGCCCTCTAACTAGACTATTGGATCAAAGCTTTCACACGGCCCAACGCTATCATACCTGAACTTCTATTTATTGCTGCGCCGACAATGACAATAATATACTAGTCTAAGCTAAAAGTCCGCTTGATCACTACTGTTCTCTTCTTCTCTTCTCCAACAGAGAAAAACGGTTTTGCTAACAACTGATTGATGGAAAGCCCTCACACACATATTCTGATTTTAATCCCATAAACATTAAATCAACAAAGCTTCCATAGCAAAACCAATTGCAAGTTGAAAAGGGACATTTGATATTAACCTTTTGTTTTTTGCCGATCTCTTTTCACTTCTGTTACTAAGACCTCTCTCTCTTCTTCTTTTTTTCTTTTTTTTCTCTCTTGTTTTTGAAAAAATGAGGTAACGAATCACACACAAAAAAAACCACACTTTTCTTGACTGAAAATCTGTTCTCTCTCTTTTAACAATATCATATCAATGGCATTTTTCAGTAATTCATCTAAAATACAAAACAAAAAATAAATGACGCAACCGCGCCAATAGAAATACAGCGCTGTCATGAATGATACACATTTTATCAT